ATACACTGTCAGCGTGTAATGTCTTCTTACTCTGCCTTGTGACTATTTTTGCTAGGGAAGTTGTCCTAGAGTGACGTTATGGTGCTTGTATCCCCAATCATGTGTTCTGTTTATGTTTGATATTCTGTTCTGTGCTTTCAGAACTGACTCTGAAAGTGAAGGTTTGTTATGTCTTGTTGTCAGCCGGCTCACCTCCCCCCATGCTCTGTTGTCTAGGAGAGACTAGTGCTTGCTGGCTGGGCTTGCTTGCTTCTTCTTGCTCCTGATTTTGCCTTTGCTTTTGCTTATTAGTTAGTTTAGCTAAGCAGTCCAATTTTCTTTTTCCCTGGACTGGTTTTTTTTTTTCCTTCCCTTTCCTGAATACCATTCCAACCTGCTCCGGACTGGGTCCTGGGAAACACCGAGGAACACCAAGAGCCTGCATTTTGTGACCTGCAGCAGGCACCTCCAGCACCGGATGCGGGATTTGTAATTTTCTCTTCTCCCCCCCTGCCATTCCCCCTCCCTCCGCGGTCCCTTGTCCCGATCCTTTGTTCCCTTGTCCTTCCCCCTTGACATGTGGTCTGGTCCCTGCCCCCCCACCGCCCCCCACACCTTTCCCATCTTCGCTCCTGCCTCCCCGGGGTCTCCAGGGTTTCCCTGCCCCTGTCCCCTGCCTCCCGTCCCATTGGCCGCAGCTCATGTTTACCCCTGCCCCCGGCACAGGGTATAACCAACCCCCGGTTGGTGCCCCGTCGGTCTCAGGAACATGCTCCCTGAATAAAGACGTGTTTGCACCCGAGCCCCGTGTTGCCATTTTGTCTGTTCCCACGCTAGAACTGAACCTCACAGAGCCAAAGGGGAAAGTAGCCACCGCCTCTCTCCTCCTCCTGCCGTGCTCCCGCAGGTGCCCGCCTGGAGCCAGTCTCGCACGGCAACAACTGGAGATGAAGAACTGGGCGACCACTCCCAGGAGACATTTTCTGCTTTCTGAATTTGTCATCTCTTCATAGTGGTGAAAGACTTTTTGTCATCTGGTGTTCTTTTGTTCTTTTTTTTTGGTGGTTTTTTTTTTTTTTTGTGCTGGGGAGTGTTTTGTTTGTTAAATAAACAGGTTTTTTTCCCACTTCTCTCTGAGGAAATTCTTCCCGAACCAGGTGGGCGGTGGGTGGTTGCTTTCTGGGGGCTCCTTCCAGAGGCTTTCTCTCAAATTTGCCCTAAACCAGGACAGGAGTGTTCATACTATTGCAAGTGAGGCAGCTTCCAAACATGTATTGCCCCCCTGGAAATGTTCTGGTAATGTGCTAATTCATAGTTTTCTGAGATGTACTTTAAACTGACTAGAATAAACACATGATTTCACTGGCAAAATGCAAAAATTAATATCCAAAGGCTAGACTAATTCCAGTGTAAATATATAATCTGGAGCACAATCTTAGGAAAATAAAAAACAAAACAACAATGCTACTTATTGCTCAGTCTTAATTCTGCCTTTTCAGGATATTCATTACTCAGGGATATTTAAAGACAAAAATGGAATTTTATATATATATATATAAAAGAAAACTATAAAAATAAGTAAGAAAAAATGCAAGGATACTAAAAAGTATATATTTACTCATCACATTTAAGATGGAAATAGACACATCTGAGACACATTTTGACATTTTAGCTGTATTTAAACCCAGATAGTTTATACAAAGCACACGGAGTATAACTATGTTGAAACATTATGGACTACACATATAGAATTTAATGGTTATGCTAAAAATATATAAAACTAACTACAGGTGAGACTCAGGGTTTTTAACTACATGACATGCTGTGAAAACTCAGAATATCAGGCATGTGCTTGCTAGACAGAATTTGGGAAGAAAGAGAGCAAGTTTCACAACAAATCTATACAGAATCATATAATATTTAAATGACTGTTTCCTTGAGTATTCTTAGAAATGTCACTTGTCTACATTTCCACAGAGACATGCTCAAATCTTTGCCAATGATACTTTAGTGTTGTCTGGAAGAACAGCATGTATATCTGAGGATGAGGAAGGTCTTGTTGAGTAGCCTAAAAGGGTAAGTGTAAGCCAGGAAGGACATTTGCATCTTGTCCTGCCCTGGATTGCAGGTGGTAGCTGCTCAGGACAAAGTGTTACTTTTCCACAGCACAAATGAACACTGCCTGGGCCATTGCTTCTGCCATAGCCTGCAGAGCCACATTCAGAGGCTGCAAATGTGTTATTTTCTATGCTTGGAGTTGAGCATGTGTGCTTTCCATTCTGGGCAGAAATATACCACTGGTAAAATGGCTTGTTAGACCAATAAAATCCATTTTGTGTGCTCCTCTGGCTCATAGCAAGTTCTTGTGATTGTGCAGTTCTTCCACGTTACTTTTCTTAGATAGTCAATTGACACTTGATGACTACATTTTTATTAGAGGAAAGCACTTTATTTATCAGAAAGCACTTACTCTATCAATGCTCAAAACCTCGGCCAGTGCTCCCAGTATGTATCTCAAAGTAACTTTTATTATAGATGTGCATGATCTTTAGGAGCTTTTCAGAACCTTGAAAAATTTACAAAATAAGCAAGAAATTTCTATCACTTATGTAGTACAGGAGAGGGCATCAGTATTCTTTTCATTTCTCTTCCAGCATGGCCATATGCTTGATTTAAATGTAGCTTTCTGAATCTTCTGTTGGGCAGCTGGAGAACTGCTGCAGCTATTGTCAGCTTTATTAAAGGCAGCAGTATCAAAAAATCCAGGAGGTAGTCGAATTATTTGCTGCTACTTTGCTTTCTGAATCTTCTGTTGGGCAGCTGGAGAACTGCTGCAGCTATTGTCAGCTTTATTAAAGGCAGCAGTATCAAAAAATCCAGGAGGTAGTCGAATTATTTGCTGCTACTTTGCAAAATCAGTATCAGATACAGGAGCAATTTTCTGGACTGCAGTAAAAACAATCCACACTTTCTGCAGTCAGATGTCAAGTAAGGATAATTTTAAGAAACACTTTGTCAGTAACTCCTTTTTTTACTGATAAACAAACCTCTTTATCATTTTTTTATGGCATGCAGTATGGTGTAAAACAGTGGATAGGATCACCTTTAGACTAGTGCATGTGTTGTGGCTGACTGTGGCTTGATAAAGTACAGAAGGCATGGAAAAAAGCAAGGTGGAGAAAATAAGTTAGATACAGAAGTCAGCAGACCTTCAGTTTTGTCTTCTACATAATGAGGCCAAAGGTGTCATGGTGTTAACACAAGGCAGGTACAGAATACAGTGATGATGTTAAAAGTGCAAGTACAAACATTGTGTCCGAAGAAAATACTGAGAGACAAAGTTTCCTGTGAGATTTTCAAAGATACAAAAAGCCAGACAGAAGAGAGTTAGCTGCTCCCAGTGAAAGTCTACAGAAAAAGCCATTGCGTAAATTTATGGGAATAGCTGAGGGCATCGAGGAAGATCAGTGTACAAACTGAGGAGATAAAAATCTGTGAGGTAGGTAGTGGTAAGACATGAGGGAAATCTTGGATGGGATAAGCGTTTGAACATGCAGTTTTTTAATCAGTTGAATAAACCATTAGCAGTATTCTTATATGCCAGCATTTCTGATTTGAGTAGCCATACTGCACTATGCAGGAGCCAGCAACTGGCAAAGAAAACATGGACCTTTTCAGGTGTAAGAACAAACATCTATTGTGACCCTCCTCAGAAGTAAAAATCTAGCTCACAAAGTTTTAAGGAAACCTACACAAGTCTCTACATGTTTTATAGACACATCTCCAAAAAGAAATATCAAAGCAGCTGCCAAAAGGCTGATATTTGATGTTCCTATAGTCTGTCAGACATATGCTAGCTTGAGGCTAGTCTGTGTACCCAGCCATATTTAACTCATCCTTTACATTAAAGTTCCACTTACAAATGAGTTCAAATGGTTACTATGAGATATAAACATGCTGAATAAATAGCAGTGAGTATATAATTACAATAACACTCATGGAACATGTTAGTAATGATTGAGCATGGTACCCAAATTAATGGATAATTGTTTTATCAAGTTTTTGGAGTCTAACAGCGAGTGCAACTACAGATCTGCATTTCAGTGACTAGTCCCTTATTAGGTGCTTTTATGTACTTTGGTTATTCAGCTCCTTTGAGGGTGGCTGCTGCTTCTTTTCACTTACAATAATTGGGACAAATTCAATCTCCCTGTTTTTGATGAATCACAGTATGGGCCTGACTGAGGATCGGATTTAATGCAAGAACCTATCATTGGCCTTATTAAGAAGTAAACATACAGCATCAGTTCTCTATGGTGCATAATACCTCTTCTATGAACTGGCCCAAAACAAATTCCGGACTCTAATGGTATTTGTGACCTGGCTGGAAATAAGGATGCCTCCTTGCTCTTAGATTTAGTTTAAAGTGCTGTTTTCAAGTGGCTGTGGAATGAATTGTGATAAGGACCTGCTTTGAGCTGACAGTTTGCTCTGAGACAAGTTGTAACAGTCCAGGCAGAGCTGGACAGGCACGTAATTTCCTCACAATTAAAATAGAAGCATTCTAGCCCCAAAAATAAAGAAATGCAACAGCATTTTATATGAAAGATGTTCATTTTAGACAATATCAACTGAATGTTAATTGAGTGGATATCATTAAGCAGGTGTTCATAAGTGATGATGGTTTTGTTTATTTTCTGTTTGGAAATGAAGAAAGATTTCTGTACCTTTTTCCACTTGAGATTCTTGGTGAAATACTTCTTATTGAAGCTGGGAGGCAGTCACTCTGTATTTTTTTGAAAATGAGTGACCATAAGAACTTAATCCCACTAGAGAAAGAGAAAGGATCATAATTGATTACTTCAGGGGAAGTTGCGTTAGAATGAGAAGTGTAAAATGAATCCTGGAACAGTTGTGTAACCATGAATGCACCTTCCTTGGGGTTTTAACTGACTGAACAAAGCCAGGGACCTCACTAGACAGGAAAGCTAGACTGGACAAACGCAGATCAGGCCAATGTGGTCAATCAAACATTCTCCCTTTATTAGTGAGAAGATGGCAGTTTATATACACTTCAATATAGTTTACAGCTTACAAAGGCACTCTCATTGGCAAGCTAACATTGCTTGTCTTTGTCTTAAGGTGGACTAAACTCTACACTATAAACCTATACTAATTCACACCCAGAAAACGCAGTGCTTCACATCACACCTTAATATAATTTCTAACTGCACCACAAGCTCTTTTTCTTACTGCGTCACAGGCTTGGAAGGCCTCACAAGGCTCGTATCTGAGGCCTAGGCTGGAGCTCAAATCTCATTCCAGACATAAATCATGCCCTCTCTCTCTCAGAAATCCTGCCACAATTTATTACTTCAGGGGAAGTTGCCTTAGAATGAGAAGCATAAAATGAATTCTGGGATAGTTGTGTAACCATGTATGCACCTTCCTTGTGGTTTTAACTGGCTGATGCCTACACAGGGTGTGGAAATTTCCATGTATCTGAAACATTTCCTCTTTAGGAAACAGTCCACAACCTGTGGTTTAGTCCTTTATCCACAGGGGTCACTTAGTATGAGATACAGATGGAAGATGCAGTTTCAGGAATTCTTTATTTGTACCTTATTCAGCTAGGGATATGGATTCTAGGCTGCTCAGGTTCATCTTCCAATTTGGTGGTGTCTCCTTCTGCCAAGCTTAAGTCAGACTTGTGCCACTTTAGCTGAAGATACCTTTCCATCAAGTCAGTTCCCACGTTGAAGACCAGAGCCAGCCAGGCCAAGCCAAAAACAATCCATATCGCAGTTAGGCTCCTGTACATGGAGATATAGTGCTTGTTGGGGTTCATGCCTGAAAAATCCAGGAAAATTTGTATATTTAACTTGGCAGCTTTGGTCTGCTAAATGTACATACTCATATACCCTCTCCACTCTTTGCAAAAGTGTATGTGTTAATGAACTTGTGTGACCCATCAATAGATAAATTTTATTTCATGCCAACCCTCAGATTAAGCTTAGCACAGTGTAAGAGGCCATCTGAGGACCCCTCACTCTCCATTTGTCTGCTGATTGCCACGAGGAGGAACTCCTTCCTCCACTGCAGTTCTGGCTTGGAGAAGGCAACAGTGCAGGTGCAGCCACTGTACTGTTACGTTGGCTGTTCTAAACGAGGCCTGACAAGAACTTGGCAAGGAGTTGGCAAGGACTTGGTGAAGACCCGGCATGGACCCAGCACAGGACAGCCTGCTGCAATGCCTGCTTCACTCTCCACCCATAAGCCAAATGAACTGTTGGGGTGACTCTAGGGGTCTCTCACTGAAGACCCCTCATCTGCCTTGTTACCACTGTGACAGATGGAGATCAAGAACCCTCTCCCCAAGGACTGAGACTGAGACCCCTACCACAGGAAGCAGGGGGGAAATGGTGGTGTGACCACTACTGACATGACCTTCTCTTCCCCAGTAACTTCAATGGACTTATTCTTCATTGTGTTCATCCTGCCTTGGTGGTTTTAGTGGACTCACCTGTTCCCCCACAGCAATTTCAATAATACTCTTATTGTTCTGTATGTTCCCCCCTTTTTCCTCTGTGGACTATAACCAGGCCACGGGGTTGGGTAGGACTTTGGAGACTCTCCCCGACACAACAAGATGAATCCCCATCGTCCGGACCACTGAGGATCTCATCTGTGTTGGTAGCTATTCCCATCACCCTCTTTTCTCTCTCTCTATCCTTCTATTTCTTTTCTGACCCCACTATCGCATTTATTGTTTTGGCCCCTAATAAACATGCATTTGTTGTGATTAAACTGATGGTCCCCTGTTGTTTGCCTTTTTGCACTTTTGGGATTGGCTAACGAACCATCACAACACCCCACTACAAGCGGATTGTGACACACAGCATGAAATCCCTGTAGCAGAGACTATATAATAAAAATAGTTATATCTAATATTAATTAGGGATGCTCAAAGTCAGTGATTCCTAGCCAAAAACAAAGGAAAAAATCTTGGAAATTAAATGTTGAATCCATATTAACTGTATGTTACTCAAGAGCCACATAGGGTATCTCAGATGATTTAGACAGCTACAAGTTAGTGAATCAGTGATTGCTTTTTGGAGGGTGATATTACCTCAGTACCTGGGATTCACAATCACTTAGATAATACGGTTAATGTAGCCATTTTGATTAAGTGGTTATGAGAATCTTAATCCCTGGTTTAATATTTCCACAGCATGAACAATCAGTGCAGCTGATACAGTCATGAAACTCCACAGTGCCAGATTCAGCATGGGATTCTTTTTTATCTCCTTTTGGGACATAGTTATGACCTCTAGGAGAGGAGAGCTAGTACTTGTGAGTAAGAAACCCCAGTGATTTTAACAAATAAATACATTAGACATACTCTGTTAAGATTATGCATTTGTTTAAATAAGTGTGTGGAAAAAAGCCCCTTACGTGTCTCTACCATGATATTCTCAATCTAGAGGCCTAAAGACTATATCATGTCACTTGGTTTGTTTTCTTTCAGGGCATCCTATGGTTGTCAGTAATCTTCTCCCCATTTTAAGTACTGATTATTTAATATTTGATATGATTTGTTGTTGGGAATGGTAGGCACTTGCTAAAACAAATCAGTGTTAGGAGAGTGTGGTTCAAAGACTTAATACTGAAAAAGGGATTTTATTTATATTCCACCTTTCACTCTTGATAATGTTTGTACCTGCCTGGGCACAGCCATTGTTGAATGACTGTTCAGAGGCACATGTGAAATGAGTTGGACAACTTTCAGGTTGGCTGTCAAGAGAAAAATGCTCATATCCTGTAATCCATTAGCTCATTGTTACCAGTCCGGCTGAGCTCACTCTTGACCAGATCTATAGTGGAATGGATATCTATGATCCCTGTATTTAGTTTTATACTAGGGTTATGAATTTCAACAAAGCTCAATCCAGTTCATGCTCTTTTTTACCTACTACATAGTCCCCAAATCCAATGGTGCTCAGGGTGATGAAGGTGAAGTAAAAGCCTTCTCTGTAGCTCCAGCCTTCTACCTAACTGAAGACTAATGGTGGGAACACCAGAAAAAGCAAGGTCCCAGTGGTCAGGAAGATGGCCACTGCCAGTGTTTGAACTACCTGAAAGAGAAGAGGAAGATGGCACCTAAAGAGCATTGAGCAGTTGTCAAAATTGATGTATCTGTTTACTCTTGAATCCCAAACCCAACCCACCTGGGAGCAATGGCACAAAAAGAAGGATAAGCCAATCCTTCCATGTACTGAAGGTTGAGCTCACTGCTTACTCTGCACATAGATATTGTACCTAAGCAAGAAAAAAAATAAAAATCTTAAAATTTGGAAAAAAAAGTAGGATTTTTAAAAAGCTTTTTGCAATGAGTTTCCAAGAATGCTCCAGTCATCTTTTCAGACTTTATGACAGCCATTGAAATGAAATACTCATTTTACAATTTCAATTCAAGTAGAGATGCTCTTGTAGTCAACTAGCTCTTGTCCTTGAGGAAGATCACCACGTACTATATAACTCATGAAGCAAAGATGGACAAGAACAAATTAGGGTTATTTTCACTATGACTGCTTTCAAAGATTTATAAAGTGGCTTGCAAGTTCTCAGCCAAAAATATGTTTGGATGAAACCTAAGTGAAGTCAGTTTCCCTGCTTTCATTTTTAACTTAGAAGTGCTCAGAGCAGAACTGGTTTGTGTTAGCACAGGGCAGATCTGTGCCTTTCAGGACAAACATCTGCCTTCAGGGAGATAAGTTACTGTAATATGTGTGACTACAGTAGATAGGTACAAAGAATGGTCAGTGGATGGATCCTGAAGGGATTTTAGGACTTTACAACTGATGGTCAGGAACTCATGGGTTTCCAGGGAACACATTCTGGTGAACTTTTGACTAATGATGTGTGGGTTGATACAAACTCATTGTAATTATTTAAAAATGCTCTCAAAGGCAATCAAACCAGAGTATGATCTTCTATTAATGAGCCTATTGTGACTGGAGGAAAAGCCAAACCACTATTTATAAAGTGGAAAGTCCAGATACCATGTTTTAATTTCTCTCTCTGAATTATCTCACATAAAAAATAATGCTCTGAGCTTGAGAAACATGGCTTGAGATGACTGGGTGACTTTGACAAGTCACTTCTGTATTATGTGTCATGTCTCTCTAGCTGTGTAATAATATTTGCCTCATTTGCAGACGAGTTTGAGAATTACCAATTGACATGATTATAGTTGAGATATAATTCTGTTGTTCTCATTTACTTCATTCCAGTACTGTAATAGAGTTTAATTACATAATAAACTTTGCATAAAACTGTATACTGAAATGAACAATTTTGCTTTTTAACCTCTCTTTTAAGAACTTTCTTGTATAAACCTGTAATGTTGGGAACAATAAGTCATTAATAATGAAGAACTGATTGCAATTAATTTCCCAGAGCATGACAAAATTCTGTTTATAAGGAGATAAACCACCTTCCTTTAATAAACTTTCCAGAGCAAACAAGCAGATTCAGCTCCAAAGGTTTGTCTGATAATAGGAGTTCTGTCAGAAATTTCAGCTCAGGAGGGAAAAGGGAAGAAAAAGGATCATGTTCCTGAGCTGCTATCAGAAATCTCAGGAAAGATGCAGCTATACTAGCATGAAAATCCTTCTGGTGGTAGAACTGTATGTGTTTGGGGAACAGGCAGAGGTTATGCAGCTAAAGAATTTCTTGCTTATATAATCCAAGTCTACATTTGATGGTACCTTTATAGCTTTCCCATTGTCTATAAAGAATGTAGTGACCCAAGAGATTTTATAAATATAAAAGAAAAAACTTATGCCAGAACTCTGAAATGTTTCAACATATCTCATATATCTAATCTCCCTTTTCCCTAACTGAAGGGGTTAATTCATTTAACCTTTTCTCAGAAATATGCACTAACTTTGTAATAAATGACCTTCATGTATTTTCCGTTATCAGTGCTTTTCTTATTAAAAAATGTCTGGACTAGTTCAATGACTCACCAATAAGCTGTAAGTAAGGAGGAGTATTTGCATTTTAAGAAAAGAAAAGGAAGGAAGTGCTCAGTTGCTGGCACAAACAGGAAAGTTAATTCCAGCCAGATCATTAGGCCAATAAAAATAAGTTGCCTTTGCACAGTGTAGAGCTAAACTCTGGATAGATGCTTCCATAGGCTGGAGAACAAGAGCTTGGTTTGGCAATGTGTGTACGTGCACATACCCTGCCAAGGTCACCAGGTCTATGGTTTTGCTGAGTAAGATTTTAAAAAGGCAAATCTAGGGCCCCTCAAGCAAAAGCCTATAGCTTTAAAGCTATCGTAGGTAGATTAAGTGTATCAAGTTTCTGATAGAGAGGGCTATGTACCTGCTGTGGTTCACACAAGGAAACCTAAGCTATCAGCAGCAGCTGTGAAATAGTGAAATCAAATGGTAAATTTACACTGTACCTGGGCACGTCCTGGCTTTTGCATCCATCTTTCCAGGGTAAGCAGATGAGCATTCAGAGCTTTCCCCAGCTGATTAAGGAAGGCCAGATTAAGGGGCACTCCAAATAAGGCATAAAACACAGAGAAGATCTGTCCTGCAACTGTGCTGGGGGACAGGTTATCATAACCTGGAACAAAAGAAGAAAACAGCTACATGAAAAGGCCCTACAGACAAGATGCAGGCATCATGGAATATTTGAAAGCTTGGAAGCTCAACTACATTAATCTTCAGAAACCTGTGGATCTATGATTTTCTGCAATTAAATCTGTCTGCAAATTGCCATTGCTTATGATGAAGCCTTTTGCATTCATTACTACAAGCTGAAAATTAAACAAGAAAAGCATTACTGACAGGTACTATTGTAACTTTCTGTAGGTCTCTGATTTTGTGGGGAATGCAACTCAGTGCTCCAAAGCAACCTAAAGATATGCTGTCCATGTACAAAATAATCTTGCATGTACCAAGTAGGCACTCAGCTTTTTTGGAAGTATAAAATACTGTATACAGAAAAGTAACAGGCATAATTGGAAACCAGTAAAAAACCATACTCACAGTATTTGATTGTCTTGTCTGTCCACTAGTTACACATTTCTGGGGGCTTTATAGGACAGTTGGAGGAAACATCAGTTTTTAAGGAAAGAGAGTAGATCACCTACAGTGGTGACAACAGTTTCTGCAAAAAAGAAGTAGTTGCTGAAGTCCCAGTTACTGAGATTTGTAGAGTTTCCTTCTGGATTGACCCCTTTTCCCCATGCTTCCATGAGGACCTGAAGGGGAAAAGGTCAGAGGAGCAAAGATGAGGAAGAATGTCAGAAATAAAGATAAGTAAATACTGTTTTCCATTTTGATCAAGCAGAGTCATAAACAGTGTTGATAACAGTATAGAGTTGGACTAAAAAGACCTTCTGCTGACATGGCAAAACTTGGAAATAGAGCTGGTCAGGAACTTGAACTCTTGCTAGAGGAGAATAGGTCATTAAGGTATGGTAGGTTCCCCAGCTAGATGAAATCTAAGGGGAAGGGGGTGGATGATTCCCCAAACTGATCAAACTGGGAAAAAAAAATAAAGTTGTGCCCAAAAAAAATAAAGTAGCTGCTCTTCTTTCCTTCTGTAATCTAGTAATCTCATTCAGGTTTTTAATTTAGGCATGTATAAATGTATAGTTGTGTCTGTGGGCAGGGGCATGGGGAACATGCTCATTTCTGTTTCTTCCATGTAAGTACTTGTAAAGATGAATTACTATTTTTAGCTATGACTTCCATATAATTTTCAATGAACATTAGGCTTCTCCTAGTCTGAAAGATTAACTAATAAAGTATTATCTGCTATTCCAGATAGCTCTCACCAGACAAAAACTACTGTATGCCAAAAAATTACTGTTCCTGCATCAAATATCCTGTCAACTGCCTTAATAAAGATTGTGTTCCTTTGCTGTCCCCCAGGATTTTTCTGTGGGAGATTGGTTTCCCTCTGCTCAGTGTTTGGTGTTTTAAGAATCCCCTTGTTTGTCACACACCTTACAAAGGCTAAGTAACAGCCTTTGTAATTTTGCAAAATGCCTGAAGGAATTACTTGTTCATCTCTTCAAAAGACTTTGTATGATGCAAGACATGAACAGGAGTCAATAGCAACCCCAGCTTTAGTTGTTTCCAGGAATATGAGACCCAAGAAGATACTCTTGCTTGATTCAAATGTTAGCTACTCCCAGAAAGATTGCTTTTTTAGTGAACATAACTGTGGCCGCCCTGGATCTTTGTCCCACAGGGAGGACCACTGTAGGGACTGTCGACAGGAGCCCTGGATAGTTAAAGTCTCTGTTTCACCGAAAGATGGGATGACACACGGGTAGCTTCAATTCTCGAGAGTTTATTGGAGCAAGTCAGGGTGCATGAGAGGGTAGCTGACTCCGAGTGCCCCCTCCCAGGGAGGGGTCAGGTTATATAACTGGGGAAAGACAGGAGGGACCAGGGTACATATGGACCAATAGGGAAAGGACTCAGGGGAGGAGCAGGGATGGAGTGACATGAACTGAACCAATGAAAACAAGGGGAAGGAGGGCGTGATTAATTGGAGGGAACCAATGGGGAAACAGAGAACAGTGAACTTTCCAGAACTGAGGGATGGCACAAACATTGATTGACATAAACCGGGGAAGGTACAACAGGTGATGGACATGGGGGGACGCGGGAATCATATAACTGTGGTCTCCCAAGGCATCCCAGGGCAGTTTTCCCCAGGACCCCCTCCCACACATAACTACTACAAGGTATCTGATTTTTTATAGGTTCTGCAATATTAGCTGAGCTGAATTGGTGGACTGAGTACCCTAAGTATAGTTGCTAATTTGATTCCTTCAGAAAAAAATCCTACAGCATCAGTCAAATTTATCAGAGGGCTCCTGGACATCATCATGTATGACCTCATGACTGAAATGTCAGCAGAGCTTATTTTCAATATGACAACTTTGCATTATCCATTAAAAGCCTTTTCTTAGAATGGGAAGAATTCGACATGTCAGATTTTCTAGAGCCCCTTATTTCATTTGCTACTTCAAAGAAACACACAGAAGCTACTGAGGTGTGAGTATTTTGAAATAATCACAGGTTTAATTTATTCCTGTAAGGAACATTTTACAGTTCTATGCATTTCAATGCACAAGAATTCACAGGAGTTACATTCACATCATGAGAGCAAACACAGAGGAGTAAGGCAACTTTAAATGTTGAACCTTTCAGACACAGCCTGACAAGGCCAGATTTCTTGGTGTAATTGATGCTGTTAAATGCAACCCCATGAAAGAACCCCATGAATTAAATGGCATCCTGGCGCCCAACAAACTGTTCTTGTGGGACAGTTATAATGGCTCCAGGCTCCTTTCATCTACAGCTCAGGTAAGGGTTATTGCAGCTGTGCATGTTTGGTGAACTGTGGAGTTGTGTTTTTAGGTTCTATTCTACTGTATATCCGTTCAAAATTGTTTGTCCGTCTGTACCCCCCTGTGCCCTTTTGGTTCATCCCAGGTTTTCCCATCAGTACCTGTGTGTCCATCAATCCCAAAATCCCTGATTCATGCTCCTGCCCTCTCCCGGGTGACTTGTCCGTCACTTGGCGACCCTTCCCCTTTGTCGGAAGGCTTCTACCAGGGTCACTGGGTGACTGGACAATGGCCTGGGGTCCCTCCCCTTCTCCCTTCTAAGTGGATACCCCGGTTGTCCTTCCCTTGGAGAACCACACCCATGTATTCTCCCATTGGCTGATTGGGTTTCCCTGCCCTCCCTATATCAGTAGTTGTTTGAGGCCCTGACCTCACTCTCTTCTGTTGGACACCTTCATGTTCGGTTAGGCTGTGGGTCTCTCCTCAGAGCCTCATTAAACTTCGGAATTAACCTCAGAAGAGTGATGCCTCCTTCCTTTGTTGGTGGTATCAGCTCGTATTTGGATCCACGAAGGCGCTTCCCAAAGCCCCACAGGGTCCAGTGGGAAGTGCCTCTCTCTGCCTGATCGTCCTGTGTACAGCTAGCCGGGGTCGGCAAGGGAATTGCCCTCACGGGGCAGAGGCGAGATGCGGCAGTGAACATTAGCTGGTGCCTTTGGGAGAGAAGTTGTCAGTATGTAAAAGCAATGTGCTGTAATTTACTGTAACAATATGAAGCCTATATTAAGCTATAGTGGAAAGAATAAAAATATAGTGGAACGAATAAAAACTGCCTGCTGTTTCTGCTCCTGTCCCCCTGCCAATGCACATTGCAGCCCACTGTGGTCATAGACAAGGATTTTGTCCTTTTGGTCTGTATTCATATCATGTCCTTTGAGACTAAAAAAGTATGGACATGATCAAAACACAGACTCCTTACTCATTGCATCTGCTTCTCAGTTATGCTGTCAGACTGGCACAATTTCCTGACCAAAGTATGCCTACCAGAGATGCATTAGATAAAAGAATTTGCATTTGCACTTTCCCAGAGCTCCAGGCTGCTCATGTTAGGAGCTGCAGCTCAGAACCATCTCTCAGCTAGGCAGTTTTAGCTATGCAGAATCAATGCAGTTTATTGACATGGAATTATAAGAATTTGTTTCATGCACAATAGAGTCAAAAGTTAATGAATTTTAAGTGGTAACTCACTCTAAGTGATAATAGATATGCCAAAAAAATCTGTGTTGAATCTCACATTGCAGATTTAGGTTTAAAGAATGGGCATTAAGACAAGATGTCTCATACTTGACAGCTGAATAGACTGGGGGCTGTGTCTCACTGCAGTTTAACTACTATTACTTTTCAGACTGGAATTGGTGACATGAGGATCAGGCCTCCTTAAACATATAGTTAAAACATGCAGAGACACAACTGCACCCCTGCAATAGAGATTTAATATGGGAAGACTAGTGTTCTCTAATATTAGTAAGAGTTAGACAAATTTGGAACAGCTTACAAGTGAAATTGTGTTTTACTAGCAGAGACACAGCAGCAAAATGCAATTCTCTGAGTGTCACAGCAGTGAACCTAAGAAAAGTCCACTGGAGTCAGAGAGAGAGAAGAATTTGGACACGTGTGACCTCTTCTAATGTTCTGAGGGTAGTGAAGATTTAAATTAACCTTTAAATCCCATAAAGTATCACAGTTAGGTTTAGAAAGAGAATCAGGGTTTTCACCTCTGCAATCACTATCGGAGAGATAAAAGAATTATAGGTAATACCACCAAGCCATGAAGGGGAAAAAATAGACATGTTTTTAGGCATGCAAGTTCTTGAAAACTCTAATCATTTTCTCACCAATGTCCAAGGTTCCACAAGTATTAGCAGTCAGAACATTGGCTTTGTAGATGTCGAGGTTCAGGCACCTTTTCTACCATTTCTGATCTGAACTTCACTGTTCGCTTAAATCCATATATGAAGTCTGGGCTTTTTGTTGATCAAAATCATATACCTTCATGGAAGTCCTCTGACTTGGGCAGTACAAATTGTTTTGAGTTTTTATCTGTTTTAATGACATGGTAGAAAGAGCTCAAACTGTTTAGGCACCCAGCTCTGCAACTGGGTATGTTTTAAGCACAAAGCAACTCAAAGATTCAAGGATACAAAGTTCAAGGACTTCTGTCCAGTTCTTGCACTATTATTATGAGACTATATCTATAATATCAGGAAAGGTCTAGTAATTTATCTCCAGTCAGTTTTGAGGAAAAGATTAAAATGTAATTGAAGTAGTCATTAACTGACAACCCATAATTCAACAAAAGCCCTTTATCTCTTCTTGTAGGTGATAGATAACAGATGGTTGACTTTATCTTTTCTTTAGGCCTCAAGTGCAGGACCACCTTCAAAGGTAGCAGACAATTTCACAGAATCACAAGGTTGGAAGAGACCTCCAAGATCGAGTCCAACACATGCCCTAACACCTCAACTATACCATGGCACTGAGTGCCGCATCCAGTCTTTTTTTAAACACATCCAGAAATGGTGACTCCACCACCTCCCCGGGTAAACCATTCCAAACTTTTTCCAAATAGCCAACCTATGTTTCCCTTGGCACAGCTTAAGATTGTGTTCTTTGGTTCTGTCAGTTGTTGCTTGTACATTGTTTGTTTTAGTACAAAAGGGCAGAATTTGCTCAGATTTGGTCTGGAGACTCTTGGAAGGGCAACCTACTTCTTTAGGTTTGATTCTTGTTTTTTGTTCTGATTCATAATTCCCAGTAATATTTAATGAGGGAGATGAGAACCATGAATTTGAAATTATTGCAATGTAGCACAGGTGAATCACTAGATGCACTTATATTTTGGGAATTCATGACTGTGGAAAGAAACTACTTCCACAGAGCAAAATAAAGAAGTATATGAATGGGCTTGAGTTATTTATAAAGTTAGATATTTAATGTCATGGGCAGCTGATCAGTTTATATCATGGTAGGCTACTTGGCCCTGATAGTATAATTTCTTCTAATGAAAATAATGCTTGAGCCAAAATAATAGGAACCCTTTCCTCTTATCTGTACAAACTGCTTCAGGGCTTATCTGTCCAAGCACGTGTAATTCGGCAGGAACTTCAACTTTTCCAGCTGGAACTGGTACCAAAAATGTGTTTCTGCCTGCTTCTCCAGCAGCTGGAACACCATAGCACCCAGGAGGAGGTAAAAGAGGTACCCTAGTACCAGCAGTGGAGTCCAGGTGATCTGCCAGCTGTGCATGGTGAGGAGGCACATGCTGCTGATCTTCCCTTGCCAGTCCCTGCTCAGCACTTTGTGGGTTACTGTTCCAAGATGTGACCTACCCAAAACACCAGGAATCACACACCCATGTTCCCAGCTACTGCCCTGGAGAGTTTTTCAATAAAACAGCAGGGTATCAGGGCTTACAAAATGAGACTAACAGAGACATTTTATCCCTCCACATCTGTTCTCTATTCAAAATAAAGGGTGAACATTTATAACTTAATAAGACTGTGAATCATATTGTCTTTCTTCTATTAGCTTTTATCCAAGGACATCAATAAAATGAATAAAGACCTCTGAGGTTGGTATTGGTGTCCAGTCAGGGAAGCTGAATCAAAACTGTGACTGTCTGACTTACCCCAAGTCATATGAATATAGAGCCACTCTTAAAGTCTTGACAAGTAAAGCATTATTCTAAACACTAGAATTCTGTACAACAAAATGTTTTAAACTCTCTAGTTACAGCAGACTTCCCAAAAGAAAACTATGGAGCTGAATAAATAGAGAAGTGAATAGCTGCTGTCTGTACCATACCAACATTGCTGGCACCAGTAAAACCAGCATGGTGAAGCTTAGAAACATCCTGAATTCAACTGGGTCACACAAAAGAACCTCTTTATTTTCTAGTCCTAATAAATCAGTCCCCTCACTGCCTGGCCTACCACTCTTGAACCTTATCAGATGACTCCACACTCTTGTCTCTAGAGTTAGAGAATAAACCACTCATGCCTACTGCCTTCAGTCTCTGTATTGCCCTTTTAATACAAATATTTAAAGGGAAGGAGGGCTTAAGGTTAATCATTAGCTAAAAAGATATCAGTTTCATCATGGGAGCCTTAATAATTATCATGCACTGGAAATGAGCTGGGCTTGCATTTTTTCTGTGGGAAGAGCTTTATGGCAAATGTCATCTGTGTCACATTGCTTCTGAAAGAAAACAAACACACACACACACACACACACACACACAAATTCAGAAAAAGATGGCCAGGTGGCTGTTACGGTGAGCTCATGTGACCTTGTGACTCTGATCAAGATAACCCCTGAAGCCCTCCTTCCTGCCCCAACGGGGTTGGCGGAGAGCCAGGAAAGCCCACCCTGTCCAAAACCTATATAGACCCCTGAGACTTCCTGTTCTCTCTCTTTTGCCCCGCTCTCACATGGACACCACAGAATAAAGAAAGCTGTTCCAACACCCTGGGGTAAGAGCCTCTTTTGAATACTGTCCTAGGGTGACGTTATGGTGTTTGTATCTCCAATCGTGTGTTCTGTTTATGTTTGATATTGTGTTCTGTGCTTTCAGAACTGACTCTGAAAGTGAAGGTTTGTTTTGCCTTGTTATCATCTGGTTCACCTCCCCCCATGGTCTGCTGTCTAGAAAAGGCTAGGGCTGGCTGGCTGGCTTTTTGCTTTGCTTGCTTGCTTGCTTGGCTTGCTTGCTTTGCCTCCTTTCTTGCTTTGCTTACTTCCTAGTTAGGTTAGCTAAGCAGTCCAATTCTTTCCCTGGACTGTTGCTTTTTTTTTTCCTTTCCTCTTCCTGAATACCATCCAACCTGCTCTGGACTGGGATCTGGGAAACACCAAGGAACACCAGGAACCTGCATTTTGTGATCTGCAGCAGCCATCCCCAGTGCTGGAGAGCAATCCCCAGCGTCCAGACCCGGGCGACCACTCCCAGGAAAGACTTTCTGGATTTGTTCATCTCTTCAGAGGGGTGAAAGAGTTTTGTTGTCATCTAGTGTTGTTAATTGTTTTGGTGCTGGGGAGTGCTTTGTTCGTTGAATAAACAGGTTCTTTTCCACTTCTCTCTCAGAGGAAATTTTTCCCTGAACCAGGTGGGTGGGGAGGGGCCGTGGGGGTTTATTTCCTGGAGGCTCCTTTCAGAGGGTTTTCCCCAAATTTGCCCTAAACTAGGACAAATATTTTGGCGCCCAATGTGGGGCTCGAGAGAGTGGAAAAAACCCTGTTGTAATCATATTTTTGTTCCAATTATTTTGTGTTGGTATGGAGCAGTTACTGGTTATGTTGTTTGAATTAATATTGTCTCTTAGGGTGAAGGCCTGCATGTGTCTCTGGTCCCTAGGGGTTTTTGAGATCTTAATCCCCCTATGGTCCCTAGGTTTATTTTTTTATCCAGGAATAGCTCCAGTATTGTCCCTAATACGTAGGTTTTGCAGTAGAAGGGCACTGACCAGAATATCCATCGGGCTGTGCTTGGCTGTAATAGCTTCCAGAGGGTTTATAAAGGTGCTGAGGTCTGTTCCTGGAATGTATGGTTCATGGTTATGGTTGTACAGCCAGTTTGTTAGAGGGGAAGTAGGGGATGAGGCTTTTCAGCCTTTGCTTTCCTTCTTCTCCTCTGAATTTGTTACCTCCCTATTAGAGCATGTTCAGTTTCCCTTGACTGTTAAGGAGACCATCTTCCTGGTGTTTAATCTGGTAAGCTTTCTCTATACAGTCTGCAGTCTCTCTAGAATGAGGGCTGAGATTTCTAGAGGGGCTGATGAGACCTCTGACCCAGGAGTAGACCCAGGTGTGAGAAATCGTGAGTGGTGTGGGAAATGGGAGGATATGGGCCAAATCTTAAAGGAATTTTCTGACCCTATAGCCTGGGACTTTCCAAGTGAACAAATTCAGAATCCGGCTGAGGTGGCGAAGTACCTGAAAGAGAAGTGCCATGATAACTCTAAGGAGAAAAAAATCATTGCAGTGAGCTGGGCCCTGGCATATGCTTATCGCACCCTGCTAGATACTGTAGGGCAGCAGACAGAGGAAGGGGGGCAGGGAGATAAATCAGCAGCTATCCCAGTCACTCAGGCTGCAGCCAACACCCCCGGCTCAAAGCCAGCAGCTAAACCAGACTCAGCAGCCCAGCCTCAACCAATGGCTGTTGCTACTAGCACAAGAAGTGGGAAGCGCACAGAAAAGACCAATCGACCAGTGGATGATGACGATGATGATGATAATGCAGGAGAGGGACCCTCAATGCCTGCTGACATAAAATCAGAAGTCAAAGCAACTGGTACAAGATCAGAGGCCAATACTGAGTCCTTTTCCCTAAAGGACCTTCGTGGCCTAAGGAAGGATTACACCCGACGACCTGATGAGTCTGTAATTAGTTGGTTGGTCCGTCTTTGGGATGCTGCAGGCGAGGCTACAATTCTGGATGGTACTGAGGCAAGACATTTGGGATCCCTGTCACATGATCCTGTCATTGATCAAGGAATGATGAGGGGGGCTAACCCTCACAGCCTCTGGGCACGGGTTCTGGAAAGTGTAGCACAAAGATACCTGTGTGCAGATGATCTTTATATGCAGCAAACCCAGTGGAAGACTATAGAACAAGGGATCCAACGTCTGAGAGAAATGACAGTGGCAGAGATTATCTTCTCAGATGAAATAACAACTAGGAATCCAGACTTAGTACCATGTACATCTGTGATGTGGCGAAAACTTGTACGGCTTGGGCCACATGACTACGCTTCTGCCTTAGCAATAATGAAGCAAAATGAGAGGGATGAGACCGTGCTCGAAATGGCAAGGAAACTCCGAGCATATGCAGATGCTGTACATGGCCCAACCCATGCCAGAATTGCAGCAGTGGAAACACGTCTGCAGAAATTAGAAGATAAGATAGAGGAGAATCATAAGAGACTCGGGGAGGAGATAAAGGAGGACCTTCTCCAAATCTCAGCAGTACAGATCAGAGGTTCTGGTATCCAACGTAGACGTTCCTCAGATGGTGAGAGAAGGTACACCCCACGAACTGAGCTGTGGTTCTTCCTGCGCGATTGCGGAGAAAACATGAGGAAATGGGACGGAAAACCTACTGGTGCTCTGGCACAACGGGTGCATGAATTGAAGGAAGGTAAGACTCAGAGAGGAAGTGCCACCAAAAGGAGAGCAGCTCCAGTTGCCCGTAGCCAAACTGCCAGGCATGATGATGATGATGATGACATGTCTGATCCCCTTGAAGGAACCTCTAAGACATGCGCCCAAGGCAAGAAGGATAACCAGACTTAGAGGGGCCCTGCCTCTAGCCAGGTAGAGGCGAGGGAAAACCGTGTTTTCTGGACTGTGTGGATTCGCTGGCCTGGCACATCGGAACCACAAAGATATAAGGCTTTGGTTGATACTGGTGCACAATGCACGTTAATTCCATCGAGACATGTAGGGGCAGAATCTGTCTCTATCGCCGGTGTGACAGGTGGATCACAGGACTTTACCGTGGTGGAAGCTGATGTAAGTCTGACAGGAAATGAGTGGAAGAAACACCCTATTGTGACTGGCCCAGAGGCCCCATGTATTTTGGGCATAGATTACCTTCGAAGGGGGTATTTTAAAGACCCAAAGGGACTCAGGTGAGCATTTGGGATAGCAGCTGTAGCGACAGAGGGCATCCAGCAACTGAACACCTTGCCTGGACTGTCTGAGAATCCAACTACAGTAGGACTTTTGAAGGGAGAAGAACAAAAGGTACCAGTTGCCACTTCAACAGTGCATCGTCGACAGTACAGAACAACTCGAGATGCTGTGGTTCCCATCCATAAGATGATCCGAGAGCTGGAGAGCCAAGGGGTGGTCAGCAAAACCCACTCACCCTTCAACAGCCCCATTTGGCCTGTGCGTAAATCTGAAGGAGAATGGAGATTGACTGTGGACTACCGTGCATTGAATGAAGTGACTCCACCACTGAGCGCTGCTGTGCCGGACATGCTGGAACTCCAGTACGAGCTGGAGTCCAAGGCAGCGAAGTGGTACGCCACTATTGATATTGCCAATGCATTTTTCTCCATTCCTCTGGCAGCAGAATGCAGGCCTCAGTTTGCCTTTACATGGAGGGGAGTGCAGTATACCTGGAACCGACTGCCCCAGGGGTGGAAGCACAGTCCTACCATCTGCCATGGACTGATCCAGACTGCACTAGAAAAGGGTGAGGCTCCAGAACATCTACAATATATTGATGATATCATTGTGTGGGGGAACACAGCAGCAGAAGTGTTTGAGAAAGGAGAGAAAATCATCCGAATCCTCCTGGAAGCTGGTTTTGCCATCAAGAAGAGTAAAGTGAAGGGGCCTGCTCGAGAGATCCAGTTCTTGGGAGTGAAGTGGCAAGATGGACGGCGTCAGATTCCTACAGATGTCATCAACAAGATCACAGCCATGTCCCCACCAACCAACAAGAAAGAGACACAAGCTTTCTTAGGCGCCATCGGTTTTTGGAGAATGCACATTCCTGAGTACAGTCAGATCGTGAGTCCCCTCTACCTGGTCACCTGCAAGAAGAATGATTTCTGCTGGGGCCCTGAGCAGCAGCAAGCTTTCGCCCAGATAAAGCAGGAAATTGCTCATGCAGTAGCCCTTGGCCCAGTCAGGACAGGACCAGATGTGAAGAACGTGCTCTACTCTGCAGCCGGGAACCATGGTCTGTCCTGGAGCCTTTGGCAGAAGGTGCCTGATGAGACTCGGGGCCGACCACTGGGATTTTGGAGTCGGAGCTACAGAGGGTCTGAAGCCAACTACACCCCAACAGAGAAGGAAATCTTGGCCGCCTACGAGGGAGTCCAGGCCGCCTCAGAGGTGATTGGCACAGAAGCACAACTCCTCCTGGCACGCTGACTACCGGTGCTGGGATGGATGTTCAGAGGAAAGGTTCCCTCCACCCACCATGCCACCAGTGCTACATGGAGTAAGTGGATTGCTCTCATCACGCAGCGTGCCCATATTGGTAAGCTGAATCGCCCTGGGATTTTGGAAGTAATTACAAATTGGCCCGAAGGTGAAAGTTTTGGTGTCGCAGATGAAGAAGAAGAACCAATGACACGGGCTGAAGAAGCTCCACCATACAACCAACTGCCAGCAGAGGAAACACGCTATGCTCTCTTCACGGACGGTTCCTGTCGCATCATAGGGATGAATCGGAAGTGGAAAGCAGCTGTATGGAGTCCCACACGACGGGTTGCAGAGGCCACTGAAGGAGAAGGTGGATCAAGCCAGTTTGCTGAACTCAAAGCCGTTCAACTGGCC